CCATGCATGCATGGGCAAACTCTTTCCCACCTTTTAGTCTAGACCAGTGTTTCTCAACCTTAGCAACTTTAAGCTGTGTGGACTTCAACTCCCAAAATTCCCTAGCCAGCCATGCTGGCTGAGGAATTCTGGGAGTTGAAGTCCACACAGCTTAAAGTTGCCAAGGTTGAAAAATACTGGTCTAGGGATACCAACTCCAGACTGAAACCAATCCTGAAGATTTTTGCTTCTCCAATAAATATATGCGACACATTTGTGCGCACATAAAAGTTATACTCCAAAAAAGGTAGGGCCACATACATGCATGTCAGGGAGAAACTCAGTTCAGGCCAGCCGCTATAAGCCACTGACTTCTTGGTCTCTAAATAAATCTCTACTTTGGAAATACTTAAGCTTGAAATAAACCCCAATACCTCACTGCACAGCATACACATGCCACAATCGCAAAGGCTTGGACAACGAGGGAAAGCTCCATCTTCATGTGGGTCACCTGAAAACTGCAAGGAAGCCAGAGAACAATAGCATTTGGCAGCTAAAGACAGCAAAAGTTCATGGGAGAATGAAGGGGGCCACACTCTGTAAAAGCATCTCTTGCACAAGAGCTAAAAGCAGATGTCAGCGCATCTGGCAGATGGATGCTTTCATGACACAAGGAGTAAAACCATTAGATCAGACAGGGATTAGGTGCCTGGAAAGGAAGTGCTGAGCCCTCATCCTAAGATGATCATTCCAGCCCAGCAGCACCCCCAAACAGGGGCTGGGTCATACCTGCTCTCCCTCCCTTTCTTTCAACGTTTGCTTTAATCTGGCATTCAAGGGTGGCTGGGTCCATCAGCTATCACATTTGAATTGCTCACAATGTCACAGTTTATTTCCATCCATGTCACTTTTACAAGTTCACCCCTAAATTCATTCCATCTTGTTACTGCCTCCATCTTTTTTTTTTTTAATCCATACATACATTTGCATCCTCCATTTTGGGATTGTTTTAATGGAAAGTGGGATACCATGGTTATTTGTAAATATATACATTTATTTCTAAATGTGTGGGTTTTTTTCTTTCTGCTGAGAACGTGAAACGTTTGGGATGTCGAAAGAGAATACAGGATGAAAATCACAAGACAGTACTTTCCCCAAAGTCTTTTAAATCTTCCCTTGCCTAAAGGATAAATTAAAGCTGCAATCTTGCACCCACTTACTGAGAATAAGCCCCACTGAACTCAACAGGAAATGTTTGTGTCAGATACGCTTATAATTACACCATAAACCATACAATTTGCATTCACTTACAGCAATACATCAGTCATACTGGATCCATTTTCCAATTTTGCCTGCACAGAAAAGAAGAAAATCAGGATTATTTATACAGTGTAAGTCTGTAGCTATACAGCCCATTTTGGTTAACCCATCTGACTTCCAGGTCTTTTATGCTGGAATATCCACGTGTTTCATCAGGAAAAAGCAATTCCAAGCTATGCCAGGGTGGCTTTCGTCACTATCTGGCCTGCAAGTGGTCTTTGCAATACCATCTTAAAGAAGAATGCATTATATAGACCAATATCAAGGGTTTTGCAGCAAAATATTGCAGTTAAAGACTCCTGTTCAGAACAACAGCCATTCCATTCCAGCCTCCTCCCTCAGTACAGTGGTACCTCGGTTCACGAACACTTCTGTTCACGAACAATTCGGTTCACGAACAGCTCCGTTCACAAAATTTGTGGTACCTCGGTTCACGAACACTTCTGTTCACGAACAATTCGGTTCACGAACAGCTCCGTTCACAAAATTTGTGGTACCTCGGTTCACGAACACTTCTGTTCACGAACAATTCGGTTCACGAACAGCTCCGTTCACAAAATTTGTGGTACCTCGGTTCACGAACACTTCTGTTCACGAACAATTCGGTTCACGAACAGCTCCGTTCACAAAATTTTGCCTCCGTTCATGAACGCCGGATCGGGTTACGAACAGGATCCGCGGCCATTTTCCCTCCCATGACACGTGGTCACGGCTTCCTGTAGGGAGGGGGACTCTCCCTCCAAGCAGTAACCGCCTCCCCACCCGCCTTCCTGTCCTTCACGCCAGAAGTCGCGCCAAGCAAGGTTAGCGTTCTCTCTCTTCGTGCTGTACTTTGTGTCATATTTTTGCGGTTTAAAAAACAAACAAACATATGGTTCAGAACGGATTAACCATAATTACATTGAACCTTATGGGGAAATTTGATTCGGGACACGATCAAAAATCGGTTGGCGACCAAATTCGGAGGGGTCAGAACGGATTAACCGTATTTACATTGAACCTTATGGGGAAATTTGATTCGGGACACGATCAAAAATCGGTTGGCGACCAAATTCGGAGGGGTCAGAACGGATTAACCGTATTTACATTGAACCTTATGGGGAAATTTGATTCGGGACACGATCAAAAATCGGTTGGCGACCAAATTCGGAGGGGTCAGAACGGATTAACCGTATTTACATTGAACCTTATGGGGAAATTTGATGCTCAGTTCTGACTGGACAATTTCAGTTTTTTTTTTTTTACCTTCCCTTAGTTCCTCCCCATCCATCCAGCACACAACCTATTTATAGTCCTGAAGACTTGACATCACATGTGCTGATTGTTATGAGACAGCTACATAATGACTAATGTTTGAGAATGAGTTCAAGATTAACAGTTAATAGTTGCTTCATTGCTCAGGTTTCATTAAGGTCAATAAAGTACCTATTTGCATATGCTTAATGAAAACTGATGAACTCCCGCGCAACAACAGCAACATTTTTAAGAGGTTGCAACCTCTACTAGTAAGACAAGCAAGGGGACTGGAAAATGGACGGAATCATTTCCTGCTTCTAAGCACCGTCCCAGTTCCAAGAGAAATTATCTGAAATGCTTTGTGGCTGTCATGCGACTAAACTCTGCCAACTGCACATGGCCAAAGGCTGTCATTCTTACTCACCGAAAAGTCCTAAGTCAGAAAAACTGAGGATCCACTGAACATTCCTGCCCAGATAGACCCGAAGCTGGCTTGACTGGTGCAATCAGACTGGCCTTAACATACGAATTTTCCTTTTGGAAAATACTAATACCAAACATAATCCTCTCCAACGCATGAGCTTCTCTAATTACTTCAAGGACAAGCTTACTACACATTACTTACTACACATTAACTACAGACTGTAGTAAGTTCAAAATATTCACTACCAAGTATGTTCAAAATGTAAAAGCAACAAGATGCATCTTCCGGCTACCTAACATGAATGATACAGTTGCATATAGGGAGGCAGTGTGCTTTACTAAACCACTGGAGGTTATATTGGAGGTTCAGGTCCACCCTCCAGCAGGAAGTGCACTGGGTGACCAGTCACTCTATCTTGATTCAGCCCACCTAACAGGGTTGGCAATGGGATAAAAAGTGGAATCCTAGTATTCTACCTTGATTTGCAGTTCTACACAGTCTTCATACACAGTGCATGAAAAACCTTCACATTAAAGAAAAATGCCATGACGTGAACAGCTGGAAGGGATTTAAATTATTTCTCCAGCTACCAAGCGACTACAGCTATCCCAAGGAACAGGTGTGAGGACTATTAAACCACAAGTGACAAATGCAAAATGGTAGTAATTCGAAATCCTTTCTGCCTTTCAGAGCCCAATCTGTGGGTGGAAAAGAACTCAGTTTACCAGACTGAATGTTCCATACTCTTCCCGGAGAAGATGGGTCATAAACCCTTTAAAGGTTGTCTGGTCTCCCCAGGTCCAGCGGGCTTTGTTGAGGTAGGCAGAGATTGGCAAGTAGAGATAAGGCAGACATCCAGCCAAGAAGCAGAAACTTAACTTCAGCACATTGCTCAGGGTCAGTTCCTACACCAAAAAACATTTGACAACATTCCATGAATCACCTGCTTGCATTACACTGCTGCAACTCCAAGAGGACGGGAGAGTGGACAGGCAAGAGGGGAAGCACCAGTAGCTGAGATTCGGTTGGCCCCGACCCTGCTAAAGGAAAGCTTTAAAAACATGGCTTTTCCCCCAGGCACTGGGCCAGGATAATAGATGATCTCACCTTCTGGGAGGCGGCTTATGGATTTTGGTTTTTTGATAATGTTATTATTATTTTTTAATTTGCCATATTGTTTTGAAATATACCGCCCAGAGTTCCAATTATTTTGAGTCGGACAGCTATATACATTTTCTAAATTAGGCAGCAAACAAATAAGTAATATAATGACACATAGACCTGATTTCTTAATTTGCATGTGGAGTCTCAAAATGTGATGTTAAACATGGCATGTTCTCTGTGGATTACTTTTGGGAGATGACATCACTCTGATCCTTTCTGCACGGCAGGTTGCAATTTCAAACTGAAACACATAGTATCTGAGGCTCCCAAGGATCATATCACTGGCACCTTTGGCCATTGAAATTAAGCCATGACAGGGCCAGATATCAGAAGTGCTGCAAGGGGAAGATAAACCACTTTGCTGTGATTAAAAACTGGATGGTTTTTCATCAACGCTTCCCCGCAATAATTAAATTAAAATCTTATGTCTTAAAAGTCTAGCGCTTAGCATGCACTTCATCGATGGCACAGACCATCATTTATAGCTACAATTAGAGCTCTAGAGAGAATCAGGACATGCTGATATGGAGGAATCTGAGAGTAGCTGATTGACTTTTGGCCATAATCATTAGATCTTTCTGCACAGCGAGGGCTGATCTTTTAAAGGCTCTTACCCATTGAAGCATCCATATGCAGAGCACTGAAACTTGCTCAGCAGTATCTGTAGTTCAGGAACAAAATCTGCCAGGTGGCAAGCATGGCATTGTGATAGATGCTCCACCCCTTTTGTATGTGCCGTGGTGTCACACATACAAAAGAGGCAGGGCTACAATCGCAACACTACACTTGCCATCTTGCTGATTTTGGCACCCACACCCCCATGGAAGCCCATGGGCCTACTCTTGGAGTGCCAAAAATGGACAACTAGCTTAATCTTCTGAGAACCATGGTTTACATGGACATATAATCTGAGCTAGCCAATTTGAATTATTAAATATTATGGACTCAGAGTAGAATTTTACAGCAACATTACAGTGACAGTCTCACCCCCCCTGCCCCGCTTTCCAGAGAGATTCATACATAAAAGACTCCAGACTGAGTTTAAAAAGGAGTAAGGCCACGTTTTCTATTAAAATCAGTGGCAAGTCACCATGACCACATGACTGGTCTCATGTAATAGCAGAGGAACTAACCAAAAGATACTCTTACAAGGAAGCGGACTAACCATCAAAGGTAATTTACAAGAAACCTTACCTCTGGGGTACATTTTCATTTAGAAGTGCTCTTAAAAAGGGAATCAAAAGAGGATTTGAACCTCAAACAAAAAGACCCGCTTTGGAATCTCTACATATACAGCAAGAGGATGAAGAAGTTAAGTATCTTGATAAGCTTTTTAGGAAATAAAAAGGCTTTTAAAGGTGGTCTTGGCTTCCAGTTTGGCTTCTGCAGACTCGTTGATGATATTCTTCATTTTCAGTTCCTTATTTGTAAAATAGGAGCTGGTCCTCTCAAACTAAGGCCAAGCACAAAGATGCTTCCAAAGTCCTACCATGGCGGCTAAGAATTATAACACCAAACTGGGAGGGAAGGAGGGTGCCCAGAAGTGGTTCACTATATTTAAAGTAGAATTAGATTTAAAAAAGATGTTACAGAAGGGTTGCCTTTTTTAGTGACACCATTTCCTTTCTTTGGGCTCCATCTTAACAGCCAACAAAAATCAAAGATGGTGTTCTAGACAGAAAGCAAGGTGGAAGCCTATCCACTTTTTGCTTAAAAGTATCCTGAGCATTAAAAGGCATTAATTTTTAAGGAAGCCCACAGCCCTCTCCCGGCTGCACAGAAGGCCCACAGTTCTGCGAGCTGTTCAAGTTTCTATTTTGAGGTGCAAACTCTGCTCCTTCTACAAGCCAATATGCTCTGGGTCCTATTTTACACATGATGAGAAAAGGCGAATGGATGTTCAGTCCAAATCTAGCAAACACAGAAGCATAAGCAGCTGGGAAAGCAGCAGAGACTCCTACAGCCATAGACCATGGGATTCCAGGCAGGGACCTAGAAATTTAAAGCCCTACATGGCATGGGGCCAGGTTACCTGAAGGACCGCCTCGCCCCCACGATTTCAACCCGTCCCATCCGATCTCACAGAGAGGGCATGCTCTGGATCCCCGCGGTAAAAGAACTTTGATTAGCGGGGTCCAGAAGGCGGGCCTTCTCTGCTGTAGCCCCCGCCGTTTGGAATATCTTGACCCTGGAGGTGAGACAGGCCCCCTCACTCCAGGCCTTTTGGAGGGATTTGAAGACCTGGCTCTGCCATCTGGCCTGGGGCGGGGAGGGAGGATATCAGAAATGGGGTTGGCTGGCCCCTTAGCGGCCTGGTGTGGCCTCTGTCGGCCTCTTGGATTTTTTATCTTTTTTATCTTTGTAATGTCTGGTTTTTATAACTTTTAATTGTATTTCTGATTTTAGTTTGTTGTAAGCCGGGGGACTGTGGGGAGATGGGCGGGGACAAGTCTATTAAATAAATAAATAAATAAACAGACAGACAGACAGACAGACAGACAGACA